TATATAGTGCTCTCTTTATATACAGTATATATATGTATAATTAATTATTTTTTACTGTGTACAAATATGTATTGATATACACACAATAGTTTTATGTCAGCTTAACTTTACAAAGTTTTTGCTGTAAACTACAATAATTTTAACATCAGTAAAAACAAGCAAATAAACTATTATTATTTCAGGTCACAAAGAATTGTTTAATGAATTTATTTTTATAACAAAACATTATTGTTCAGTTTCATAATGATGCAGGTTGTATCTGAAGCTGACACACAGCTGGTACACTTTCTTTCTTCTTTTTGTCTGAGAGTGTTTAAAAACACACAAATACTGAATATAGAAAATATAATATCTGAATAAACTGGCCTAACAATCATTACATTAGTGTCTGTCATTAGTGAGTCGACATAATCTCTGAATTATTCTGCAGTCTATAGTCGACAATCCAATAAAGTCCATATTTACATGTTTAATATTGTAAATAATATATTTGACAACAGATAAAATCGATTTTAAAGAAGGTTAAACATGATCATTGAAGCTGTTTAATGTTAGCGTACAGGTTTTACAATTAAAATAATTAATTTTGGTTAAATATACGTAATATTTACCTGTGAAACAACACTTTTATCTCTTGTAAACATGTAACGATGTAGTTTATAGCAAAGTATTTGAACCATTTGTGCTTTTATAGTGTTTGTTTGCACCGCGCTACGTTCTGCTCATTGACTTCAGTGGTTAGCGTTAGCATTGATTTCAGTGGTTAGCGTTAGCATTGATTTCAATGGTTAGCGTTAGCATTGATTTCAGTGGTTAGCGTTAGCATTGATTTCAATGGTTAGCGTTAGCATTGATTTCATTGGTTAGCGTTAGCATTGATTTCAGTGGTTAGCGTTAGCATTGATTTCAGTGGTTAGCGTTAGCATTGATTTCAATGGTTAGCGTTAGCATTAGCTCAATGGATAAAAATCTCCCTTGCGAAGCCACGCCCAGGTCAGGTGACACCCAGTCCAGTGTTATAAAGACTTGTTGACACATACAGCAGGTCTAGTTGTGTCAGAGCTTATCTTCTGTTCTCCTGTGTATCAGACGAGGCAGCAGGCTGCAGCAGCAGGTCCTCAAACACAAGCCAACCTGTCCAACGGGTCTACAGCTGAGTCCTGTCCCCACCCAGGCCTCCCCCACAGCTCTGCTGTCAATCACACATCCTGCCAGCCCACCACCAACGGACCTTCTTCTTCCAGTCCTCCTGGGGGGCTGCCAGGACACCTGGACCTGAAGACTCACAGCCCAGCACTGGGAGGAGGCAGCAATGGAACCGTGCCTTACCTGCAGCAGAACAGTCTACCTCACACCTGCACCAGCAGCCCTACCTGTAGTCCCAGTCCTGCAGAGGAGACCTGGACGAGCCAGCAGCACAGCACTACCACTCAGGTGTGTCCCCTGGTCTACAGCTGCTCATATTGTTCAGTGTATGTACATGTATCAGTCTGTGTATCAGTCTGTGTATCAGTCTGTGTATCAGTCTGTGTATTAGTATCAGTCTGTGTATCAGTCTGTGTACAGTATCAGTCTGTGTATCAGTATGTGTATCAGTCTGTGTACAGTATCAGTCTGTGTATCAGTATGTGTATCAGTC